GTGTCCAGAGAAAAAGAAAGGGTTCTTGTATGAAATGAAATAATTATTGGGTTCTTGTGTAAGCTCTGATGTCATGGAACCGAAAGAGGCTTCTGTTTGTTCTCTTCCCAGTCTGGACGCCTGTTTTTGGTCCAAGTGGAGACTTATGCACAGATGCGCTTTGGAAAAATCAAACATCAAGTGAGACCCGATTTCTGCCTCAAAAAACAAATAAAATAATATAAATGAGAATAATAAAGAATCTAATAAATTGGCATGGGTGGTGGGGACTTTGGGCTCTGTTCCAAGTCAAGATCCCACCAACACAATAATTTGAGAAGGCAACAATTATTTTATATTTTTTCATTGTTTATATTAAATTTTGGTATGGAAAGGAAGGAAACCTGAGTGTTGACAGGAAACGGCTTGACTATTAAAAAGGAGAATGCATAACAAGTCCCACATTGGAAAACACCTCAATGCATGAAAGCTTTATATATGGGCGTTTAACAATAAAGCTCGTCCCTTCGGGGACATCTGATAAAATTGGAACGATACAGAGAAGATTAGCATGGCCCCTGCGCAAGGATGACACGCATAAATCGAGAAATGGTCCAAATTTTTTTTAAATCTTTTGCGATATATTTTTTTGGCTTAAATGCTACAGTGCCCCCTGAAACAATGGTCAATTCTCACTTTACCCCCTCAAAGTTAAAGTGACCCACTTTGCCCCCTTGACCAATGTTTCGTGTTTCACTTAACCACTTTTCGTCAACGCCATTCCAAATTCCTTTAAACCAATGACGTGGCAGGGGTAGTTTGGTCCATTCAATTGAACTGGAATTTTTCCCACCAATCTGAGGGTGTGACGTGTACATATAGAGCCCACCTCTAACATCTGATATAGCTCAAACGTTCCAATTGATCTCAGCTGCCTATCGAACCAAAAAACCCCAAATTGGCTTCCTCTAAAACCCTAGAAATCAGAGGTTGGGTTCCACGAAAATTGAAGATGAAGACTGAAATAGTTGACAGAGGGGAAGAGTTGGATGTGGCGGCACCGCGTTGCTTTTGTGGGAAGATAGCTCACTTACAAACTTCATGGACTGAGGCGAACCCACTTCGAAGATTCCATGTTTGTCCAAACTCATCACGGGTAAGTTATGTTGTTGAAAGTTTGTGAATCCGGTTAAATTTTTTTATTAATTGGTATTAATGGTTGATGCAGAGGAGGAAAAAGGATGTGGGTTTTTTGTTTGGGTGGATGTTGAATTTCCACTTAGAGAGAAGGCTCTGGTGAGTTGGCTACTTAGAAGATTGAAGGAACTTGAAAAGGACGTTGGGCATCGTCAAGCAAGAGAAAGAAAGTTAATGGGTTCGCTTATTCTTTCATGGGGTTTAGTAAGTTAATGGGTTGGCTTATTCTTTCATGAGGTTTAGTAATGGTAGTGTTGTATTGGCAATGTCTGTAACAACTTGGCACAAAATGTGGCCATTGCAATGAAGGAATTAGGTAGATTGTACAAGTCTGTATTTTGCAACTGTATGTAAAATATCATATCTTGGTAGCTATGTAATGATGGAGGAATATGGTTTGAATTTGCAACTGGATGTAACAATGTATTGGTACTTATGTAATGCATGTGGTTGTTGAACACAATGTGGGAGTTACTTATTGGATTTTGACCTTATATGTAATGGTATGAAAAGTATTACCAAATCAACAGTACCACAAACACCTGCAATAGTTGATAACAGACAATCATGGGTTTTATAACACTGATCAAATCCTCACAGTTTATAACATTACAAATAAAGTTCTTAATAGTTGGACTTGCAAAATAATAGTTCAATCAAAAGCCCCATTTGAAAGGGTTGTCCTTAACACTTGTCCTTAACAGTTGTACATGCAAAACAAAAGTGGAATGAAAAGGTCTTCATAAGAGGCATTTTAACAAAACCGAGAACACTTGCACATGATCAGAATGTCCAAGGCTGATAACCATCCAACAAATCCTTCCGATTGGTAAATTTCTTCTTTTTAGCAGGAGATTTGAACCTCTTTTTGCTTGTACCACTGACAAAGGAGTGTGATAAGCTTGCACTTGGTTGAGATCCTTGCACAGATTGAGAAGTTTGGGCAGATTGAGAACTTTGGGCAGGTTGAGAACTTTGGCCAGTTTGAGAAACTCGACAAGCTTACACAGATTCAGTTCTTTGCACAGATTGAGAGCCTTGCAGAGTTTGAGAACCATCCTTCTTTTTGGGGAATTTAATCCTCTTTGCAGGAGACTTAAACATCTTTTTTTTGGGAGTTTCTGAAGCTTGGCCAGTTTGAGATGCTTGGGCAAGTACTGAAGGTGGGGTAGTTTCAGATGCTGGGGCTGGGGCAGTTTATGAGCAGTTTGCATTTATAGGCTTCGACGGTTCGTGGGCTTAATCGTTGATCTTCCTGGTGTAAGTAAAAGTTAGAATTTAGAGTACTTTTTTTGAATCAAATGCATGCCAAAATCTTGCCTGCTGGGTGTTTGATAAAATGCTTATGTTACTATGACCCTTATAAAATTGTTGTGTATGTACTTGTAATGGCTCTTTAGATGATCCCTTACACTTTGGTATCTCCACTTTTACTATATAACCGAGTTAATGTTCAAAATATAAGATGTAAAAACCCAATATATGTTTCTTTCAGTCAAGTTCCGTGGGCATTCGTTTAGAAGTTTCAATCTTGGTTGTTTGAGAAATTCGTAAATTGTGACAGTAGGGGTCGTTTTAGTCAGAGCGATGCTTAGATAAGCAAGGAGGTTGGAGGGCAGATTAGTATACTATTTTTCATGGGTCGGTGTCGATTACCAATTTGGAGTTGCAGAATGGGAGTTTGATTGTGCAGAAGTGGAGATTTGGGAGCTGGTTTGATGGGTTGATTAACGGTATGTGAAGTTTTGCTTTTGGTTGATTTTAATTGGTTTTGTGATTTGTGGACTGAGTGTGTTTCGATTGAATTTTTGCAGGTGAGGCTTACACTCGAAGAGCCTGAACCTGGCTCACTGTTGTCAAGCTAACACATTCGGATATTCCCGAGGAAGACAGGTTGGTTTTGATTTGAGCTTTTAATTAATGGGTTCTTCTCAGTTTATAGTTTCATTGATTGGGATTCTGTGAGTTTTACTGTTTTCTTATATGCATTGCTGATTGCTTTGATTTGGTGCCTTTGGTAATGTAGATATTGGAATGCAACTGTGGTGGAGAATACAGAGAGAGTTTGTCGGGATCTTTTTTTCCAGAGGATACGGGCATGTTTTTGGTTTTGGAATTTGACATACTTGGGTAGGCTAAAATTCATGATCCTCTTTGTACTTCTTGTAAGTAAGACCAGTATCTAACTCTTCCCCTCGTTTCCATTCATGAAATGGTCGCAAGCCATCTCATTTTGGTGTTTTTTTCAAAAGTTGATCCTCACGGGTAGCCTGAAATTTGGCAACGAGTTTGTCTCTAGACGGCCAATTATCTTTGATTATAGGAGCATCTGCAAAAGTCAATTTCCATGCTGATAGCAATGGAAATTCTTCTTCTGTTAATAATTTCATTCCGGCTACGTCTTCAAACACACTCCCATAGTGTGCAAGCATTCCAAGTGCGATATCTGCTAATCCAAGCTTCTCTCCCCCAAAGAATTTCTTTCCCTTTAGCTCTTCTTCCAAGTACTTCAAGTTTTCCTTGGCTTTTACAATAGCTTCCTCTTGCTCTTTCCCTTCATTGGTAAATGACTACCAAATAGATTGCAAAACCTTAATGGCAAATACAAAAATCACAAACCAAACCAAACGATCAAACAGTGAAAAATATTTTATTGACTAACTTTCTTTTGAATTAGCTTCAAATGGGATGCCACATATATCATCTACATAATACACTTCCATTATATTTACTTCTATTTTTTGCCTAGAAAAACTTAGTCAAGTGTGTGAAACTTAATATGAAAATTTGCAGAGTAACTAGTACAAAATTATTGTGCCATATTTAAGTTTTACAAGCATCGAAATATCTGATTTTGGAAGAGTGGTTTTAGGTTACCTTCTCATCAACAAATTTGGCCCAAAAGCGTGCGGCGGCTCTCTCAAGAGGATCTTCAGGCAGCAAGGGGTTTTCCTTCCAAGTTTCATCAATGTATTCAAGAATTACAAGTGACTCAGCAATTGGTTTTCCATTGTGCACAAGCACTGGAACCTTCTTATGAATAGGGTTATACTGAAGAAGTAAAGGGCTTTTGTTTGAAAGATCTTCATAGATTGTTTCGTATGGGACACCTTTGAGTTTCAGTGCCCAAACTATTCTCAAAGCAAAACGACTTGACCATGTCCTAAAGAGCTTCACTTCTGCCATTTTTGCTGTTAATTTGAGCTATGATATCCTAGCCTTTTATGCTTGACTTTCACTATGGAATTTTGCGAAGGTCTCCTAGACTTTCTTGTATTTATTGATGAAACCTTCTATTTTGGTAAATATGACTTGGTCCCTAGATGTTATGACATGTATTATTGCATGTTAACTTCTTTCTTGCTCTGGAAAGAAAAAAAGACATGGGCTGCCCAGAAATATTTTGCTCATCAGAATACAAGTTACCAAGTTATCACGGGGTTCGAATATGAGACTAGGTTTTTGCAAGTCAATACCCTTCTTTGCTGGGGTAGATTCGTTGGCCATCACAATATAAGTAGTTGTGTTATTTGGCAACATTATGATTTTCAATTTTCTTTCAAAAGAATCAAAATTCTATTTAGCTTCATTTTACATAAATTTTATAGCACTTGAGAGAAGAAAAGTTTTAAGAAACCATCACCGTTTTGAAACTAGGAAAA